AAAAAAAGGGAAATTGCCTGTCTTTTTTTTTTTCGCAGTTTTTATCGCGCGAACCGAATTTGGACGAAAAACGCGTTCGTAACCGCCGGTTCGTTGGCACGATAACGATAACTGTTGCACTATCGATCACGTGATGGAAACGCCTATATGTATACGCGAAAGAAAGGACGCCAGCGACGAGATGGTGTGTACGCGGGAGCCATGGGACGCGCGTTGCCGCATAAAATTGCAGAGCCCAGCAGCGCGGCGCCGCCGAGCCGAGATAGCTGCAAACAGACGCGAGTTAATTTAAAAATGCAAATTCCACCACGGGACTCTCTGCCGCTCCGGGGGCGGACACGGGAAAAAAAAGAGAGCGGTAGACAGAGAAATAGAGAGAGAGATGGAAGAGACGAGAGAAGACGAGCGAGGGGAAAAAAAGCGCGACGCGAGAGAACACAACGCGAGTAACGCACCGAGAGAAAACTTTACTATTTACGGCGGCGTCATAAATCATAGCGTAGTGAATGTCTGGTCCGATTCGCGGCGTGCGAGCTTTATTTATATGTCGTTCAATTTGAGTAAATCCGATTGCGAGAACGTTCTTCTGTTGACAATTTGACAATCCGCACGCGGATTTAATGGCAAATAACAGCAGTAGCGCGTCTAATAAGTAAATTCCCGTGTTGACTTTTATTATATAAGGAAATTTATGGCAAGCGCTTATAAGTTTATAAATAGAATCTTTCATCTGGAAAAAATAAGATCCAATTTGCCTAGGAGCACGGATATCGAACGCTTGTTTTCGTCGAGCAGATATGAGCCGTGGGAGAAGAATCAGTTTGGCGGAAACGCACGTGGATATTTGCGTTGCTGCTACGATGATAAAAATTCGCGCGTGTACTAATTGCCATTGTGACGAACGTACCGATTTGATACGGTGACGCGGCAGATTCTGCGAACCGATTACCGTCGTCCCGTCCGACGCGATCATAAAAAATTCCATGCATCCGCGATGCAAGCTGCGCGATGCGATGTATATGGTCGCTAGGTATTGTGCCGAAATTGCGCGCACTTGCAGTTCAGATCCTCTCATGAATCTCGCCACCGATAGCTCGCAGGCGTGATTTCGTTCGGCAATTAAATTAATTGCCCGATGCGCAGAAACGAAAATCGCGATCAAACATTGAACGTTTCGAGGCTGCTATTCCTCTCGAGCGAGTTTGGGAAGACCGCGAAACAAGTGACAGCGTAATATAAGTCACAAATGTTTACTTATTGAACTTGAAGACGCACGGTTATTGCAGATCACGATCGTTCTCTTTGTCCGAGATTGAAATCGACCGATGTTGTCACGATGTACGAAATATCTTTAGCGGAAAGATAAATATAAAGATGAAAAAATTTCGTTAGAAATACGGATATCTCGTACGGTCAAATTCATGCGACATCAATCTCAAAATTGAAATACAAGGAGTCCTGTCTTCTGTTTCTGACATGCTCGACAATCGGAGATTTACCGACACGAAATGCATTAATCGAACATCTCTCGCTACGGTGCAAAGTCCATCAACCATGGCATTTCCCGCTGTCGACAATATCGCGTCGTCTCCGCGCGGAATCCCAGTTTCTCGATGTTACTCGTCCCGGCGCGTTCCTTCGAGAATGACAACGACGATGATGACAACGATGCTGCTGAGAGCCACTGGGTGCAATCTTGTACCAGCTGGGGTTTGCGGGGTCTTGGGAGACGCGACTCTGGCTCGTAACCTTCTCTCTCGGGATCCTAGCCACGACGACGAGGATGGAATGAGGAATAGGGAAACAGGCACCACAGGCAGGCAGGCAAGCGAATAAGGATACGGGGATGGTTGGTCGACGTAGGGTGAGAGCGCGCGAGTAAGTAGCGGCAGTAAGGGGCTGAGAGAGAGAGACGACGGAGAAAAGGGAAGAGGAACGAAGGAGCCGGAGAGAGGACGGTGGGTGGTCGGTCGGTGGTTTGGGATATATCCGTAAGGTTAGGGTGGTTGAGTCGAGACGAGGCGCCGTGGCGAAGGAGTCGCTCACTCACTTACCACCCTCATGGCTGCGACCGCCAACCCCAATACTATACACACGGCCAAAGCCGTCTCCCCTTTTCATCCCCCCGCTGTACTCCTCTCACCGTTTCTCCCGTTCTCGTCTCACCCTCGAAAGAGCCACCCCTGACTGTACTTCGGTGCCTGCTGTTGCTTGCTAAGTTGCTTGCCTGCCTGCCTGCCTGCTTGCGGACCAAGTCGTCCCTAACACTACAAAGTCTATATATCTACGGTATACCCGCAGCTCCTCCTACATTCCACCGTCTCTCCCTCCTTTTCCTCATCCTCCCCAGGGGTACCAACCCCCATATTGATCGTGGCACGAATCCTCTTTGTGGGAGAAGGTGGTATGGATAGCAGACGGGATAGGTGTAAGTAAACTTACGTGAATGGAAGGCGGGCCGCGTGTGTATCATTTCTTCGCGGGAGATATATACGCACATCGTATGTATACGTACATATATAAATATGTGTATGTACCGTGTACACGTACACTGGTACGACAAGAGCGAGACAGCGAAAGAGAGAACAGAAACGGGAAACGACATTGCGAGCTATATCGGCGTCTCGACGCGGGGAAGGAGAAAAAGGATGCGCTTACCTCTTCGAAAGATGAGACTTCCGGGTACATATTACTAGCGGTATCGACTACGAGCAGGAGGTGGTGTACGTTTTCGCATGATTTTCCAGGGAACTGAATCGCGTCACGATTTTCTCGTGAAATCTTTTCGCCGCAATAGTAGTTAAAATCCTTTGTTCAAACAATAGTATAACTTGTTAATTAATAATAATTTTTTAAACTATTTATTTTAAACTATTTAAATATATTTTCAACAACATTGAAAAAAATTTCTCGATTTTTTCTCGAGCAGAAATTAAGTCCGCGAATCAGATAGATATACAACACGATCTAAAGGGACATTACAATATACTTTAAAGTATTTTAATCGCCAAGAAAGTAGCGCAAGGTTACTTTTGTAGGTGAATCGAAAGATATTTTGGATTACTTTGGCGCGTCTTATTTTCTAAGGGTGTCTCAAAAGCGACAATTGTCTCGTCTGCTTCAATGGATTCCGGCCGGATAAGCACTGACCGACCATTTTTAGATAACGAGAAGACTACTCTTCTTCCGCAAAAGGTCGGAAGAAAAAGATCTTTCTTGTTCTCTCTATCTCTCTCGGAGTTCTTTCGCGAGGAAAACTCGAAAGAGGCACGTAATACGGCTCCTGGGGAATCTTTTTCTTTCGAGAATCTTTCATGACGTGAACAGAGCGCGTGTTTGCGGGACTCACCCCATCCCCTGTTCACCCTCCGGCTTTTGTCTTCGCTTTTCTCCCGTCGCTATATCGTCGTCGCGAACGGAAGAACACGATTGCTTGATTTTTCCACGTCGTGGGATTTCATATTCCTTCTCTCGAGCGATATCTCGACGTTTGACAAGACCACGGATACGATACTACGGAATGTAATTTCAGCATTAATCGCCTGGAGATACTCGCGAATGTATTTATATGTATCTCTCTCTCTTTCGCTCGAGATATCATTTTTATTTTTTTCCGTTCGAAGCCTCTTCGGCGTCTCTCGACCGCAAGAGGGGGATGATACCGAGGCGTCGAAGTAATGGACCGAAAGAGCGAGAGAGGCGGCGGCGACGCGATAGTAGCGAATGAGAAACGAAGGGTAATTGAGAAGAGGAGATTTACTTCGACACCGATTGCGAGGGGACGCGACGGGATGGTTACAGGGTTGCGAGATGGGGCGCGCAGTTATCGGAGACAGGGTACAAGAGCTCTGCCACATTTATATAAGTGTATGCAGATATATATATATATATATATATATATATATATATATATATATATAGAACACACAGAGGTATGCGGATAGGGCGCGATGTTCTGTCGACAACGAAACTGCCGCCCGTAAAACTTCTTCGTGCTATCTGGAACTCGAAGGCTTTTCTCGACTTGACGAGCCCTTGAGCGATCTTGCATTTTCGAAATATGCATCTTGCATATTTTATGAAAATTGCCAATTGATTATTTCTCCTTTATTTGATTTTAGCATGCCAAAAAAATACAGATGAAATATTGATAAACAATATACGTGTATTATTATATTATATTATATAATAATAATAATAATGATAACGATAATAGCTTTAACGTGCTATTTAACATGCGAGAAATTAAAAAATGTAAAATTTGTAAGTTACATATAATTTAGCTGATTTTTATTTTGTATTCACATTTGAAAATATTTTTACGATAAAACTTAATCAAGTCAAATCTCTCTTTTAGATCTCTCGGGAAAAAATATTTTGTTTTAACTGAGTACAAGAGCACAATAATATTGAAAAGATGCGATGAAATAAAAAGGAGAGAAAGATAAATAAATGTGTAAAGAACTCAGGACACCCAGTATATTCATCTGCTTTCGGAAAACGGACACGCCAATGTTTTTCTCGCTACTCGTGCATAACAAGGTAGAAAAAAAGCCGAACTCTATACGAAATCCGTCCTATTATTCTTCGTTCACTTCGGAGCGAATGGAGGACGAACGAGCCGAGGGATAAGTAATTCCGTCGATACCTCTTCCACCCATCCGACGGGAAAGTCGTTTTATTTAATCGCGAAAGAGGAAGGAAGGAATTTAGTCGTTCTACCCTCCATCCGTCGACCTCCATCCCCTCGGCCGCAAGAAGTCCTTCGTTCCCGATACGATTTCCGTGGAAATCTATCGAGGAAGTGGATTCCACGTCCGTAAAAAAATCTTGGACGAATAAATCCTGCAAATCTCCGTAATCGGATTAATCGCGCAAGACGAGAGCGGGTCGTATCTCTGTCTCTCGTGTCGATAAGAGATTTTATAAAAATCATAACGCTTTCTTGTCGAACGGCTTTGTTAAAGACTCCGCTGAATATTGATTGCTTTGTGTCGCAGAGAAACTCGATATCGCCGGCGGAGCGAGAGAAATACAGGCCGCGCAGCACGCCCGATCCACAGCACGAGCATCTTCTGGGGAAGAAACTGAAGAAGGAACACGACAAGGATATAGGCCATGTAAGTATCCAAGATTGGTGCTCCATGATCTGCGATCCACGATTCGCCTTAATAAAGCCGTGCGTGTTCTCCCCGACAGCAAAGCGATGGTGAAAAGAGCGACCAAGACCTGGTGGTCGACGACGCGAGCGAGGGCCCCAACAGTCCGGCGGCGAACGGCACCGCGTCGCCGCGAGAGAACGGTCTGGACAAGCTGGGCCCGTCCTCGGTACCTCTGAGCGGTCAGGTGAAGAAGGAGGTGCCACCGCCGTCGCCTAGAAGCGGCACCAGCAGCAACGCGAGCACACCCTCGGCTAAGAAGATGGAGGAACGCGAAAAACCGACGACACCGATCTCGAAACCAGTTACACCCACGTCGGCAGGTCGGTGCCGAGTCATTAAGGAACTCGTGAGAGTACAAGGATAAAGACATTGAAATCAGAGACTAGAAGTCGAGCCAAAAGTCTGCCATGTTTCTGCTAAACTCTACGAAAGAGAAAGATATATAAAAATGTGTGTGAAAAATATTTACTTAAAATTATTCTTAATAGATAAATGTAAAATATAAAAGCGAAACATATATTATTCTATCATAATTTGTTTTTTAAAATTATGAAAAGATTTATCATTTTTAGACTAAAAATGTTTGATAAAGATAAAATTAATTTAAAGAAAATATACGATAGCAAATCTATGGCTATGTATTTTGTATTTAAATAATAATAAATAATAATTGTGAAGTTATTATTTATTATTATATGCAAATTATTAAATGCAAAATATATGCATAGCTTAATAATAAATAAGAATTATTTATAATAATTTTATATCAAAGTATTATTGTGCGTAAAAATATTAAAATTATATTTTATTTTATTTTTTATTAATAAATTTAAAAATCAGTGGCAATAGTAGAAAAATGGCGGACCAATCAACAAGCTAATTCGGGTCCAGTCTCCAATTTCAATGTTTCTATCTTTGAATAAAGAATACCAAGAAAGAGCGAAGCGAAAATTCATTGATGGGGATGCGACAGACCTACGTCATAAACCCATACAAATTTTACTGACATCTGATGGGTTACAAGTCAAGTTTGTAACAAATTTCGTTGATCGAATGTCGATAAAAAGACTACCAATTTTATGATTTGTAATGAGTGAATTGATAGAAAAATAGTAAATTGTTATTTAAATGAATATTCGAAAATTGAAGGATATACCGAAACGTTCCATATGTAATATTTATGTTAATAGGAGATTTATAAATTAAATTAAACATTTGAAATTTACTACTGTTCTTTCGATGACGTCATAAATACGTCATGAATACGTTATAAAATTAAATCATTCGGGATCTATCCGTCTTGACACGTGTTCTTTCCTGGTTTTCTATTCAAAGATCTCTATACAAGGAGGGAGGAAAACATCGAGAGAAAATAACCGTTAGTTCACGATATCGTAGGTGGCAGCAGTTCCGGTTCCGGTGGCCTGAAACCGAGTTCCAGCAAACCGCTGGTCTCGGCCTCCGTAGTCGGTCCTTATCCACCGCATTATCCTCCACCGCATCATCCGCCAGCGGGACCTCATGTGGACATGCTAGGCTATCCCCCGGCGGCGCTCAACGGCTACCCTGCGAGACCACCTCTTCAACAGCTCTACGATCCCCACGCCAGTATGAGAGCGCCGCTCGGACCACTCGGCGTACCTCCAGGCGGTAAACCGTGAGTGTTTCTCCTCTTTAACAATTCACCATTACTCGTTATTTTAACAATTACTCGTTATTTTACGTCATCTTATTAGTATTGTATTAATTGCTATTTACCGCAATTTTTATGGGAAAACCTTTTTTTTTTCATAGCAGTGCATACAGTTTTCACGTGTCTAGCGAAGGCCAGATGCAGCCGGTGCCGTTTCCGCAGGACGCACTCATTGGCCCGGGGATCCCGCGTCATGCGCGTCAAATAAACACGCTCACTCATGGCGAAGTGGTCTGTGCCGTAACAATCTCGAATCCAACCAAATATGTCTACACCGGTGGCAAGGGCTGCGTCAAGGTATGGGACATCAGTCAGGGCGGTAGCGGTAGCGCAAAGCCAGTCTCCCAGCTCGATTGCTTGCAACGAGACAACTACATCAGGTCAGTGATGGGGTAACACGTGTCTTCATTCGCAGTTCGTGACACACATTAACTACCAACCGCGGTCGATGTAATTAATTTCCGACTGAATTCTGGATGACATTTAGTTGTGTCCGCCGGCTGTATATCATCCGTCGAAGCAACGCGGCATCGATTTACCGCGTGCATTTTCCATATGCATTTACCTCCCTCTTTTCCTCCTTCCCGTCCTCGCGTATCAACGCGCGCGGGTAATAATTATTTAAAAGCGTGCGTAAGTGGCGGTATTTAATGGAATTAACGCTAGTAGTACAACGTTCGTTATTCGATATCATTAGGTCGGTGAAACTGCTGCCTGATGGTAGAACGCTGATTGTGGGCGGCGAAGCGAGTAATCTTAGTATCTGGGATCTGGCAAGTCCGACGCCAAGAATCAAGGCCGAATTGACCTCCTCGGCACCGGCATGTTACGCCTTGGCTATATCACCGGACTCGAAGGTTTGCTTCAGCTGCTGTAGCGATGGCAACATTGCTGTGTGGGATCTGCAGAATCAGACATTGGTCAGACAATTCCAAGGTCATACGGATGGTGCTTCGTGCATCGATATCTCCGCCGATGGCTCGAAACTCTGGACAGGCGGTCTCGACAATACTGTACGCTCTTGGGATCTCCGGGAAGGCAGGCAACTCCAGCAGCACGACTTCACGTCTCAGATATTCTCCTTGGGGTATTGCCCAACCGGCGAGTGGTTAGCCGTGGGTATGGAAAATTCGAACGTCGAGGTACTCCATGCCACGAAACCAGACAAATATCAGCTGCATCTGCACGAGTCTTGCGTGCTGTCGTTACGTTTCGCTTCGTGTGGCAAGTGGTTCGTCTCCACCGGCAAAGACAACTTACTTAATGCGTGGCGCACGCCTTACGGAGCCTCGATTTTCCAGGTTAGTTATTGTTATGTTTGATTGTTGGTTTTTTTTACACATGATCTCTTTTCTCATTTCACGTGTAATGTTTTAATAATGATGTAATATTCTAAGCATTTCCGTTTTTTTTTTTCAGTCAAAAGAGTCATCCTCGGTGCTCAGCTGCGATATTTCTACGGACGACAAGTACATCGTGACAGGATCTGGCGATAAGAAAGCCACCGTCTATGAAGTGATATATTGAACCACATATTGATTCGTCGATGCATTTGAACGCTCACGCAACATCGATTGAGGTTTCTTGTGACACTTGATTTATGACGGAGGAATTGAAAAAAGAAAATAAATTTCTTGTACGTGAAATGTGACTTGTACTTCAAGAAACTGTACGGCGAATTAATTGAATTAATTTGATAATAACTGACAAGACTTGGTCGACAAGACTACGGTTGCTATATTCGACAGAATCTCAGTTAAATACCACGTTTCTGGTAACGAGCTCTCAAGACACTTAAATTACCAGGGAATGGTATGTAAAAATATTGCGGAGATATATAATTATATAAAAATTACAGCGTTTAGCTGTATAAAATTGTATAGAGTTTATGATCGTAAGTAGAAGCGAATGAAGCGAATGAAATATGAGAGAAACAAAATGCGTGTAAGTACCCTCCGACCGTATTTAACGCGGGAGGCGATATGAAATCGCTTGTGTAATATGTTACTGATGTAATATAGAGTCATTATAATTAGGTTCTTATGTGCGTGCGCGATTGCGAGAGGAAATGGAACGAGGAATCGAGTGCGTTTCGTCAAACGAGATCGCTCTCGCGCAGAAACGACGAAATGTATGTACACCGCGATGAAATACCTGAATACGTATGGAATGCTGATCTAGTGTTGTAGACTTGTCAAAGTAGGGATGTGTATGTTGTGTCGCAAAATTATACATAATATATCGAGCACACATGTAGACAGAATGTTTACGTCATGTAGCGGAGGAATTGTAGGGCTATGAGAAATCGATAAATATCGATCACGCTAACAGTGTTGAATGTACATCAACGCGCATGTTCATCGGCATCGAAGCCAATGTGATCTTTGACATTTCTACCACCGACAAGAGGAATAATTTGTACTTATTACACCTTCAGTTTTTAAATAACGATTCTTTCATAATTATATGGCACTGTTGCGTCTGCCGTTAAGACTTTATTGTAATTGAGATTTTATAAAAGTGTCGCGCGAATGGAGACAGTGATAAAGAAGAAAAAAAAAATAAAAAATAAAAACGGCGAAAGATACTTTTTGATCTTTTGCGGTAATTACGCGTATTAATTAGGAAAACTGGCTTTCATACGGCTATCACAAGCGGTATCGAATACAAATAGAAACTCTATAAGTTGCGCCGTATGCGCGTGGATTCTTGATATAATGTACATTGTCTTGACTGCCATAATAGGCATATACATACCACGCACATGCATATGTGCGTAAACACACGGTTCCCACACACATTCATACACGCACGTACACACACACACACACACACACACACACACACACACACACACACACATACGAGCGAGCGGACCACGTTCGTGGGCGGATTTTGCAGAATATTCGATAAAGTATTTTTGTGACTATTCATCATGACCCTAGGCTTAACCATCCGGTCGAGCGCGATCGACCACGCGCCCGTCTACAACGACTGCAACGACGAGGCGACGTAAAATGAGGCGAGAGACACTTGAACAACAAACTCTTACACTACTCTTCGGTGCAGTTTACAAAACCAGAAGTGCGTCTGGACTTAGGGTACTAGCTAGCGCATTATTATTCGGAAACCGTATGGTGAAAGCGAGTGATGCGTAATGGAGATTTATATTTTGTTACAGGAAGGCACATAACATGTTGACACCGCTGTGATCGTCCGAAATTCAATTCCGTCAATATAATACTGCCGCGATATAATAGACGAATAAGAACTTTGTCGGACATGATAACGTTCCACACCGTGCCGTTTTACGATACGCAGACTGACGAATCGATGAACGAGATTCGATTTTGGGCGAGCACAGCTCCGATCATATAGACCAATAGAAACAACGATACCTCAAGAAGACTCAATAGTTAATTATCTCTAACTCATTGACTTGTACAGAATTGATATTCTTTTACAGTTGAGAATAACACACGCACTGTGGGAAAAAAAGCATTACGCGAGACAAAGGAATCGCATAGCCGCGATAATGATTGTGCCCCTCCCCCCTTTCTTCCCCGCCCCCTTTTCGTATCGTATACACATATATATACACGTATATATATATGTTGAATTGCGTCTCCGTGCTCGCATTTTGCACTCCGTGAAAAGCGTACGAAAGCCGCCATGGGAGAAAAAAAATATACGTTCGTAATAAACGGAAGACAAAGAGCGTTTATCTTTTTCCAAGCACTGTTCAAGTTGTTCCTATAGCTACGCGAAAATTGTTTCTTTCGGCAATTAAATCCTCTATATCTATATACAAGGATTGACATCATTATGTTCGCCGATTCCTATTCCATCGAGATCCCGTCTTCGATCGAATACTTTATGTGAATCGAGACATTCCAGAAAAAAAGTTGTAACATCTCGCATTAAAACTTGAAATTTTTAATTTTCATTCTTCAGATATTTGATAAAAATTCTGCGACTACTGATGATTCTCAGACAAGAATTGATCAAAATACGTTGATATGATTCAAGAATATTGCTAGGAAAAAATTTAGGATTGCGATTGTATCTTGAAACATAAAGTCAAGACCGAAAAGGATATAATTTTATAAATAAAGGATGTATAATTTGATCAATATTAATAACATGATTTTACGAAAGAAAGTAATCGAGTTCAAGGACGCTTCTGAGGAATGGAATTGAGGAATTTGTTTCGAAAAAAATTAGCATTAAAAATTTAATTTATGCTAATTTCAAAGTGCATTCAAAAATCCTACTCGTGAAATAGAACATCAATCGCTACTTTACCACACGGGTAGAATCTCCGAACGCACTCCAGATGGCGCTGCAAACGCGCGTTTCAATATGGCCGACAACATGGCCGAAGTGAAGATTCGGTAATCATAACACAAATAAACTTGGAATTATAGAAATATATTTTTGCGTACGTGTGCAGTGAAAACGAACATTCTTCACGATGAATATGTCCGTGGAGAAGAAGAAATACCCTTCGGCGTTGCCGATCAATTGGCATGCGCGAGAAGAACCGTCGAGAAAGAGCCAAAATCAGTTGACGTCCACGGGGAAGGATTATTATTACGGGTAAGTTGAGTAAAATTATTTCCCAAAAAAACTTTATTCGATCTTGCATGAAGCTGTAGGATTCGCAGATTCTTAAATGTTCGTAAAACTTGAAATTCTTACGCGGATGAATATAGTTTGAGATATGAGCGGTCCTAACCTCTGTTGACAGTCATCTTCCGTAAATTGACAACTTTTTCTTTTTTTAGCCGGGCTAGAAATGATTCATCATTGGTACCACCGATCAGACAAACGGCATCGATTTTTAAGCAACCAGTTACAATTTATAAGACGCAGGAAGGAAAAGTGAAAGATATCAAACATGGCATTCAAGAGAAACCAAAACAGGTTAGTTTATAGCAACTGTAGGATTGATTATATGCTAATATAACTGTGGATCAACAAATGTGTGATGTATCAACAAATCAAATTCTTTTACTATATTTCGTATCTTATCTGATTATATGTACGACTTATTCGCACATATGGTATCTAATAATTATTATACATTTCTAAATGTAGCTATGAAAACTTTCTTATATATGGAAAGTTTTTAATCCTTGTATCATGCTTACAAGACACTCTGTCTACTTATATCCATTCGCTTGTAATATTTTTCGTTAACTACTCCTTGTAAATTTGATACAATGTCAAATCATTGCTTTAGGAAGGAGCCGATAAAACTGACGGCAAATATGGCTCCCAAGATAAGCCTAAGCAGGTAACTCTGAACATGCAATCATGAAATTGTCAATAATTTCATTTTTTTTTGTTATTTTTTATGTTAAATGTGTGTTATTAAATATTTTATTAAACTTTTCTACTAATAACGAAAAAATACAATTCTTGTAATATTTCACATCAAATGGAAAAAAGATTTGTAATTTTATCTTTCTATTTTGTGAATTTAGATTAAATATAATATATAATTTATTAATATTTAAAAAATTTTAAAACATGGCTATTGTATACATGTATGACAAAAGCTACAATGATTTAATTTTACATAATTTTTAGATATTGGGAATGATATTTATTTTTATAGCTTGTGTTATTTTATTAATATAATAAGCTTTTTGCTTAAAAGAGTAAATCGATTAATCACAGATAAATTTTTACTTTTCAGCTGTTCTGGGAAAAACGTTTAGAAGGTTTGCGAGCTTGCGATGCTGATGGTTATGAATTTGATGGAATGGATCTGCCAAAGAATTTAAAACCTGTAGGACCATATATCACGGAAGAAACTTTGCTTCAAAGTGTGGCCACAGCATTACATGTATCTACGCAGCCAGTCACAGGACAAACAGGATCGAAAACGGCTTTGGAGAAAAATCCTGGAGTGTTTCTCAATCCTGATCAACCACTTGTACAGGTGAATCTAATAAGGCATTATAAGTTTTAAGACGTTAATGATAATTTGTATCAATTTAATCACAGATCTTTATAAAAAATTGTATTAATACTAATAAATTGATTATCTTTCGTTTTGTATTGAAGGCAGTTTCGATAGCGGACGAGGACATAAAGAGGCAAGAAGATCGAGTGGCTATTGCGAGAAAAAAATTACAAGACGCTTTACGTGCTATTCAAACTTAAATTATAGATGGTTTATGTGTATTTGCTCACTTCTTAATTTTAAGTTTGTTATAAATTATATCACACACACACACACACACACACACACACACACACACACACACACACACACACACACACACACACACACACACACACACATTGCCATTTTTGTAATAAATGTTTTTATAAAAAAAGAACAGGAAAGACAAAAGGTATAAATTCGACGAATATTTAAAGCGTGAGATTGACTGAGTTTTCGACATACATTTTAACAAAATTTTTCAAAATGAAAAAGCCGAAAATATGAAAAGAATGGGTCATGTAGCTGAATATCTTGTAAAAGCCAATTTTGCAAGTCAATCCTCTATTATAATTCGAGAATAATTTGTTTTATGGCGCTCCAAATAGCTTGAATAGTACAATTTGCCTAATATTTCCTGTGACAAATAGGAAATTCATCAAATTAATAATGGTCACGAAAATAACAAATTTCTCGAATTTAAGTTCGATAGATGGTAAAAGTACTATATTTAGTATTCGGTATTGAACGAAAATGAATCAGTATTAAGGTATCTCTATATAAAATTAAAAAAAATTAAATATAAATTTTACATTCCAATCTAATAATAAGAAATTTCAATAGCGTAATATGCTTAATTCAGACCGAGACTTGAAAAAAACTGAGTTTACCAAATCATCCATATTAATTATACAAAATAATCGCTTTTAGTTTAGCTTGTAAAGGTCATGTGGGAATTGACTAAACTTGAAATAGAATTTATCTCTTTGAATTTGAGCGCAGCGTGCCTCGTGACAAGAATAGTCTAATGATAAAATTTTATTTTTGAATAATGGATGACAAAGAATAATAATACAAGAAAAAACCATTTTTGAAAAGTAGTTTCGAGAATTAGTTTAAAATATTTTTGACAGGAAATAAATTCCTTAACTATGTAGAAATATTCCTACTCTTTCTCAATATTTGTCATTATTATCGTTATTTCGTATCATTTCCTTAGAACTTTTAAGGATATACAGTATCTGAGGGAGTGAAAAGTCAACAAAGAATAATCTTGGAAAAATGTAAATTATAGACCTTCAGGAGGTCTTGGAAGATAATTCTTGAAACTATTTTATTTTCTACAAAATTGTTTTGTCCAAAACTATTTTCTAGGACATATTATAAATACATCAGTCACGTTAGTAGAGCCTTTGAGCCGTATATTGTGCCGAGTGCAGTTGTGTATCGAATGCTGCCATTCCTCTGGAAATACGTGCCGAGGGCATCGTACAAAAGAATGCCCAGGCAGGTATACAGACAGGCATCGGTTTTCAGGTAAGCATAAGCGGAGTACCAGGTGGTAACCTCTTTTTTTCCTTCTTGCTCGGTACTTCTCCACCTCCGACCAACAGCTGTTTCCCTCCTCGGCAAGGGTCGCTCTCCCTTATTGTCAACCAGACGGAGAGCCGTTCTCGGTTCTCGCCCCACCGTCGTCGCCGGAGCACATGTTCCAGTTTAAATCGTTATAACTCGTCGAACACATGACACGACCGACGTTCCATCCGGTGCGGATATCGTATCACGGACACCGGCGACGATGCTGCGTGCATCGTCGATTCGACGAAAATTCACCGTCAAATCGATGCTGCCTGCATCCGGAGTCTGCATCTCGAGCGATCAATAGCGCGCTATCGCGTATTCTTGCAATAATTTATGCGCACGGAAGAAACATCCGGTTCGGTAAAAGAAAAGATAACAGAAAAAATATATCAACGGAAGAAAATTGTATTTGTAAAGATAATTATTAATCATGGAAAATTGTAATTTGTCACTATCCGAGATAAGTATCCAATGATTGGATAACTACAAGTGACTAATACTATATTTAAAAATATATATTTACAATATGTTATGCATATACATATATAAAGTACGATATATTACGCATATACATATATAAAATATAAGAAAACTTTAGATTTATCCTTATGGATTTCGGAGATTCAAGCGCAAAATGCAGTTGAACTCCCACCGGAATTCCACATGTATAATAAATGACGCGCATGAATATAAATGCGGATATCATACAACGAATGAGGAATTGAAATCGCCACGGGACACGTCCCGAAATAATCTCACCTACGTTCCGCGTGCGCGTGCATAATTTACGGGAATTTTTGCGTCGCGTTTGACCGTGCTTTAACCTGTCGATATCGACATGGCGCACATTTATGCATTTATTTAATTCCGTGCCCTCGAACGCGCCGCGCCCGTGCAATTATCTCCCGGTAGATTTTTCACGCGCGCTCTGTACAACGGCTCGCGACAGCCGTGGTATCGCGTGTAAAGACCTTATCTGGAGCACATCGAAGATTACATCCCCCGCTATCTTGGACATAATATAGCCGACATATAAATAGACGCTCCTCTACGTCGCGTTATCGATCTTCGCGCAGATAGTATATTCGACCATCGGAAGTTGACCGACTTGACTATACTATTTGTATAGGGGTTACTGGCCGCGAAGTATTTCGGATTTATCTACGCGAGGACACGGAATGAGATGCGCAATTTTAATCGTTCGCGAGATAACTTTGTGCAAAATTGTCGTGATGCGGTAAAAATTGTCTGCATAGAAAACGACCGGTGGTTGGCGTAAAGGATACAAGAGGAGGCGTTGGTCCGTCGCGCTTCGGAAGAAAACAGCTGGGGGACCTTCGGCTCTCAACAACGACTGTTATACGTAATCGATGTCGACAGACTTTCTCTCTCGTGGACCTGCGAGAGGAGAGGAGAGCGCGCCTAATAACCACGCCGTGCGATCGTGCTCTTTCCATTTTCACCGGGTCTCGATGTCGCGAACAGAAAATAACTCTCTTCCTCGGGTTCCGCTTTTAATACACAACGTTGGCGTAAAAAACATAATAATTAGATAAAGAATATAAATGAGACGCCATATAAAGGAAGAAAAAATATTTTTAGCTCGCCTATCATTCAAATTTTCGTTGATTGCGTGTTTCGGAATAAATGAATCTCTTTTGTTACAGCATGGGAGGTAATAATAATGCAAATTGTATAAATTTCTTTGAAGCAACTTCACCAAAATACGCCCCTAAAGAACTATGTAATATTTATATAATTATTAAAACGTAAAAGAATTTATAAAAAAAAATATTTAACCAACTTTTTTTACAAATGTCTAACGGTTCGATATTTTGTGCCAATCGTTAACCGAAATTTTTGAATCTTTGTGTGTAAAATGCGAGTATCTTATAGTCTGACTGGAGGTCGGATCCGGTTTATTGTTCGCTTCGCAGAAAAAAATATAGAGAAAAGTCTCGCTCCATAGGAAATCTATTTAAAAAAAGAATTTCTATGGGCACCCGCATTTTTCCTTCAGTTTTCTCTTTTACTTTCTTGTTCTTTTTTGCTTGAGATTAATGATACTGTATTCTATTATTTTGTGAATTTGAAACGGAAATGGTATATGTGTGCAATAATTATAGAAAATGACAATAGTATGCAGGAAGAATTTATATATAGATTTTTTTCATTTATTTTGTACATATGCTATTTTATTTATTAGTATATATGTATGTGTCTTTTACTTAATTTTATTTTAGGACAAAATTTAGAGAAATTAAAATATATATATATATATATATACATATATACATATATATATATATATTTATAGGAAAGGAAATATATTTCTAGACATCTAATTGATAAACAATAACAATAATAATAATAATAATTTTATTAGCAAAATAGAATGCATAACTCTATATAAAATTAAAAATAATTATACAATAGAAACAAAAAAAAGTTTACTCTAAAAATCGAGTAAAATTCAATTTCTAAACTTACGCAAATAATTTATTTTTTTTTTGTATAATTATACAATATTACTAAATAATATCTGTAGTGCGCACAAAATTGTATTTAAATAATAAATTCAAATTCTATTTTACTGCTTCTGAAAGACCTACCTAAAATACCAGTTTTTTCACAGCAAGAGACATGTTAAGCCGGAGAAAACTGCTTTTCTCCAATAATGAAAAATTCCACTTATTGTTAAGTTTCTGGAACTGAAAAGCTTTATGGAAGAATTTTATATTGTGTCCTCTAAAACCCAAGGTTTTAGTTTTTGTTTCTTGTTTTTTCAGATTTTCTCTCCTCTCTCTCTCTCTCTCTCTCTCTCTGTATGTCATCGCATAATAAATGTTCGATCTCTAACACATTTTCGCCTTTGTTAAGACGCAGTAAAATATAGAATTTGGATTTATTACTTGAAACTTTTCCCTTGTTTCGATTGTAAAAATATTCTCGCTGGTATAATGTAAGAAAGAGTACAGCATGCACATCTTGTATATTATCGAGATGTGGTGGGTCAACCGAATCAGCGCACAAGGTTAAGCATTTCAATGAACGCATCACCGCGCAACGTTAATAAGTGACAAGTGTTGTGTCTGCGCTAAGAAACATACAGCGATATCCGCGAATGGATCAGTGCGCTCGCCTTGCGCGGGGTATATTTAGAAAGGCGTTGCACTTTATCCGCGCTATCATCAGTTAAGCACGCTATTTGTGTGTTTTCGTCGTTGTGCAACTATCTTACATACGATACCGCAGCGGTTTCGGTGGCCGCAGAGATCCCCTGCCTTTTGCGCGCGAGCGAGCGAGCGCGTGGGCGAGTGGCCGCGCGATTTTGTGGATAACCAGACATTAGACGGCCAATCAATATCGGGTGCATTGCGAGATAATTCGATGCCGGTATCGTATTAGTTCTCTCGGATCGCCTCGAGGAACGTGAAAGCGGAATGGCGCTTAGTTACTCGATTCATGAAAGCTTTATGTAATTGCATCGCTGCGTCATAATTAATATGCAATTTTAGCCAACTCTGTTCTCGATAATCAAACAAGAGAATATTACAATTTCGCTCACTTGTGTACCGAATAAAAATGGTAAAGGTACTAGAGATTCTCGCTTGCGAATATATCTTCATAACTAGCCACTGCTCCCGACGACGATGTCGTCGTCGTCGTCGTCTTCGTCATCGGTATCGACTCAGAGGCTAGCAATGCGGTTCTGCACCCCGGCGATCGAAATCGAAAGAAATATCCTCTCCGCGGACCCCTGCTTCGCGTACATACTTATATCTACGCGTACGTAGGTACTCGGTGCGTCTATCCGCGTATATATCGGCGAGGACGCGCGAGGCTCACCACGGGAGTCGCCAAAGCAACGACAATGATCGCAACCGGTTGCGCGCCGTAAAAATACGACGAGCGACGCGGAACAGAAGAGGAGTTTGTTTAATGCGCCGACCGGCGCATCCAGAAAAGCGATGCAAAGCGCATCCTTTTCAGCGTCGACCGGGACCGGCCGCATCCTTTGGCACCGCCTGGGCGTCGAAACCATCTTTTCTTTCGGTATGCGAGCTCAGAAATCCTTAGCAAAAACAGGAAAGGATTACGGATTACGAGAAAATCTCCCGTTTCGACCGTTCGTTTGAATTCTCCAAATTTTTGCACGCACGACTTTGCACATTTTTTTCTTGTTTCTCTTTTTTTTTAAATTTATTCAGCAGGGGTAGAATTAAATTTAGTGCGCTTAATTTTCGGCATCGACCGAAAGGTGGAAGCTTTTTGAAATAATTATTCTCGAATCTCGGTCAGCGCAGCCAGTACATCGATCATCTCCTGAATTAATCGGCGATTAATAATCGGCGGCGATTAGTAATCGAGCGTGACGTTGGTGCGAATAATCGAACGCTGTTGGTCGCGTTTCGCAAAAACGGCGGAGAAAGAGGGGAATATAGAGACGGCACTTTGTAAAATCATGCGTGCGATAACACCGAGGTATTTACGAGCGAGCCGAGAGCACGAGCAATCGGCAGGTGCTCGTGCACAAGGTGGTTGGTGTCTCGAGACAACCTTGAAGGGAGAGAAAGAGAGATCGGCAGAAGTGCACGGGTCGTTGCTTTCGGCATGCGATGAGAAACAAAATTAGTCGCTCACACCTCCGAGCGAATTCAGGTAGGCCTTACCGAAAGTCTTGGCGAAGCCTCGCGTCTCGCTTTCTCATGGAGAACCCTCTTCTCTCCCTCCCTTTTTATCGCGATTACGCGATTGCATCGAACAACAAAATGTTCATCGTACGCTTTAACGAGCCATTGACTGGTCCGATCCGTGGAAAACAATGAATCGCGGATATTCGTGGATCGCTGGCGGGCTCCCGTCGTTTCGTCTGTCCTCGAAAATGGAGGACGCGGACCGATCTGGTGTGGGCCCCGACTAAAAATCGAGCAATCGGCAAGAGTGCTCGGTCGGAGAGAGGACGAAGGGTCGTCGGCAGAGAACAATGGGATCACGCTTGCGTCTCGGTTCAAGGTCCGCGCTCGCGCGTCTAGAGATTCGGTTTTAGAGAGGAGATGGAATTCTCTTTTCACTCTTACTTAACGAAACCGCTAGTCGGGCAGGTGGTCCGTCTGGGCCCGGTTGTGATTCGCGAAATTAGGGGCCCGCCAACTATCGGGCCGACGAGCATTCGCTCGACCTTGTTCACGTCAGCGTGGATTAGGTATGTCAAGCGTCGTGTGTCGTATATGTATATCGTGGCCTCATCCGAGAAATTCCGAGATTACTCATGGTTTCAAATCTGACGTATCGATTATTCTTTATCCTTGGGAAATTGAATACGTAAAAAAATATAATGATGCGATAAAAAAACGGGGAATTGTATTTTGTAGAATGTATGCACAAGTTATACATTTATTAACTCTTTATCAATCGTAAGTAAATATCGCGAGGAAATGTAATATCTCTAGATAATGGAAAGGACAGAGATACGCGGTATAATACACGCTACACGATATCATTGCCAAGTTTGCAGGATCAATAATGAGCTTGACGATATCTGAGATTCTCTTTGCTAAACAGAAACGAACAGAAATTGTAATATTGGTCGCGCGAACGCTCAGCAGCAATTCTCGTATAGCCGGAGGTAACACGGTACAATCATCCGCTAGCAAGGTTCAAGGACGATAATCGAGGGAACTTATCGCGACAAGTCGTAAGAGAGATTCCTCTCGTTCCTCCGCGGAGGATTCAATTAAGTAAATCGCGAGAGCGATAAACGTACGGATTCTCTCCGTTACATTTTCCTCGGGGATACGTTTGATGTAATATTTAATTTACAACGCGCGACGGATCGTCGCGGTAATTGAAGCGTGCGTTTTACAATCTAAAGGACGAGTCGCCATTATTCGCTCCGGATTTCTAAAGGTCTTTTCTTTTGCGTTTATCTTCCCGTTAAAATGGAGAGATAACCGCGCGGGAAAAGTGTTGGTGCACCTCGTGCACGGATGTGCGCGCAAAGCATGTGACAGCTACGGGAGAAGAGGAGAAAGAGCGTTATACGATCCACCTAGGTCGGTGCACTTTGACCCGTTGGCGAGGAAAATCATATATATATATATATATATATATATATATATCGTCGCCGATATTTATTTCGCTAGGAGAGCTCGCGTCCTGACTTTGCGCACGCGACTTTGGAAAGCAACGTCCGAGATGATATTCTCCGCGTGAAATCTTGCGAGCAATTTTGATCGAAAATGGGACCAAAATTCACGTATATTTAGGAATCGTTCGGAATTTAGCCAAGTTTGATTCTCGCTAGTCTCGCGACAGGTCCAAGATAGCGTCGCAATTTTTTCAGTCAGCCTCAAGGTTCGTCGAGGTTTTGGAAAATTGTTGGAGTAAACGGCGGCGGCGTTTCCACAGGGAAACTTGGCGAAGGCTCGAACGGATACGCGAAGGGTACGGAGGGGGTTGCGCGAAGTACAATCGGGGACGGGAGTGCATGCATCCGTAGCCGTAGCGTCGAAGGAGCCGAGAGGAACGAAGCGCTACGTCGGCTCGCTCGCTCGCTCTTCGTTGGCTCTCTCTCTCTCGTTCGCGTCGCGTCGCGTCGCGGTGCCGGTAGGTGCGCTAGCGCCTGTGCGCCGTGCCCGGGAGTGGGGAGGGGTGGCGCGTCCCACGTGACCCGGCCGGCCAATCGGGCGCGCGCATAGCCGGCGTCCGGCACATGGCGGCGCGCCGGCTTCGACAGCCGCAGTCGCAGTACGTCGCAGTCAGTCGCAGTGGTAACACGAGCGAGAGGGTAGTTGCACGCGCCTGCCTTCGAAAGGAAAGATCGCGGTGAAGAGAGGTGAGCGAGCGAGCGAGTGTGGGATAGACGGAGGGAGCGAGGAAGAGAGGATCACAAGCGGGAAAGGAAGGGAAAGAAGGGAACGGAAACAGAAGGAACGAGCGAGCAAGCGAGCGAGCGAACGCGCGCCCCTTGCCTTCGTTTTCAGTGTTTCGGTTCAGTGTCTCGCGCGACGACTCAACCTTTCGTACGGTCAAGTCAGTCGGCCGGTTACGAGGCAGAACAACGCGATACGAACGAACCGTCGTTACGTCGTTCGGGCTTGGAGCGAAGAGAGAGGGAGAAGCGAGAGAAACGAACGAACGAAAGCAGCATCGGTCGAAACACACAACTGTGCACGCACCAGAGAGGAGCAGTTGTACGGACACTCTTGGAACGGACGCATCCGATAGAGAGACAGAGCAGTGGGGATATCGAGAAGGCCATTTTCGTCGCCGGTTCGCGGGTTACGTACGAGACATAGCACATACGACCGGCGAGTGTCTCCGGCGCGAATCAACCGTGGTGTACGCTTCGGCAGCGGAAGAGCGCTTTATCAACGATCGAGATTGGCTCCCACGCGGTGCGGTATCGTTAGCGAAACCTCCGTTTTTTTACGCGTATACGTAATCTTGGAACGTGAATTACGTTGTCGCATCGTCGCGACTGCATTCGCAGCTGTATTCATCGTGTACCGGTGCGAGTTGTCCGATTCCTCGTCGCCACCTCGTTTGTTCGATAATAAACTCCAGTGCGACGACAACCTTCGAAGCGCAGCGTCGTCCAACGTCCCGACCGGTGTTAAACGAAGATACGACAAATTATACATAGTATAGAGTGGAATGCCGACGAGTTTGTTCTGCGAGATGGACCGCAGCTCAAACGGCAGCAGCACCGGCGCCTCCTTCGAGGATCAGCGCGCCTTTCAGCTCGCCCTCGAGCTGTCGATGCTCGGTCTTTCGGAGAATTCATCCGGATGCCCTGGCGTCGGCACCGGCAACGGCACCACCAACGATCCGGATCCGCTGCAGACCACGCCGGCCGTCTTCGAGGAGGCGCGTTCCAAGAAGAGCCAGAACATGACCGAGTGCGTGCCGGTGCCCAGCAGCGAACACGTGGCGGAGATTGTCGGCCGACAGGGTAAGTCGCTCTTTTATACCTCGTCGATTTTACTTTTTTCCTCTCTCTCCCATTCCCGACTATCGCGCCTCTTTATCTCGTCACGTGATCGTCTACCGAGAGAGTCATTTTTACATCCGTCGACTCGTTCGATCGCGTGGAAGAGACGTAAAACCCTGAGGAGAATATCAATTCTCTCGTATAATAGCGAGATAAGCGAAATCGTGCACGAGTATATAAATGTCGGATTTTTATCATCTTTTTAATCTAACATCCGGTAGATAAACGTGCGGTGAGCAAACGCGCCTTTGTCATCGTCGCGGAGACGGGCATTAGTTTCCTTGGTGCTTTTTCCAAGCCGCGTCGCGATGCCAAATAGCGTCGCGTTGTTTCTCTGTCTCTCTCTCTCCCCCGCTTTTGCACGTCCCCGCTGGTTGGCTGGTCGACAGAGTCGCGCGCGAGTATAGCGTCACTGACAGTTCATTGGCACGGCTGTAAACGCGAACGCACGCCGCGGGAAACTTGATACTGGGCGCGATGGAGCAATTAAAGCAATTTACATTCGAATTTTGTTCGCGCGCGCCGAAGACGAGAGAAGGAGAGAGAGAGAGAGAGAAAGAGAATCCTCCCCCCTTTTCGAACCTGCCCTAGGTCGTGGTTGTTACGACTTCCTGACTTTTTTCTCGTTTCTCTTATCTGTCCCACCAACGGCGGCGTCTTGGAAAAATGTTTACGATTCTATCGGATGCGACACGATACGACTCATAAATAAAGACGCGTTATGTTCGGGCGTTGCATGCCCGAGACCGATGACTCTCTCTCGGTCTCAACCTTGAAGACTGGTCATCGTTCTACGAAAAGGCAATTCGTCTCGCCGCTTCTTTATTCTAACCGTACCCTGTGCGTTTTTTTTTATACCAGCTTGTAGCTTTATAAATGCCCGAAATATGTCGTTGTAATTTGTGAGATATTAATAAGTGACTTAATTCATTTATACTTAATTATTATTTCATGACTTTTGAAATAAGCGAAAAGACTGTACAGGACTGTACAGGACTGTACAGGACATATTCAGGATATCATTTATTATTAAGACTCGACGTCATTTTCAGGGGCATATTTACAATGTTACCTAAATTTCCTTAATCGAGCACTTTGGACGACGCGATTATCGAGTCGTTCGTTTCGAAACGTCATTAGTTCCGTAGTGTCTATCGCTCGTTGTGTTTACACAATATAGTCGAAGTAGGGACGTGTCGTAAGACGTTTAGCGCAAAACACAACGGAGATATTTCGTTAATGGGAACGTATACACCTATCTATCTTTCTAATCGCGCGACGAGCGACGATAAGAATCGCTGCATTTATTAAACAACGGTTTTCAATGTTACAGTTGCCAAACAATGTATTGTCGCGCGTCATAACGTTCGTGCGCGTTCCGCTCGTGTCTCGCGAAATGTTTAGAAATTCAAATAACGGCGCGGCACGTGGCCTTGCCATTTAAATTTTAATGTCTGTCAACGGCAATTGTGCGCCGCTGAATAATCGGCGGCGATCAATATCGTTCGAGAGTTCTCTCCCTCTCTCTCGAACGTTATGCATTCATGCATACCCTACATACGTCTACCGAGTCTGCGACGCGATTTTCTCGAAAACGCGGACAGATCGCGCCGAGAGATTCGCAAAGAGGTGCGAAATATCGATCGTCGAATTGGCGCCGAAACAGGGTGCGGATTGGCGGTAATCGGAGCCGTGCATCTCCCCTACGCGGATGGAAGAACGGGAGGAGGGGGAGGGGGAGGAACCCGGGCAGGAAGGAAGCGCCGTACGGCTTCGCGGTCGTCGTCACGACCGCAGCTGCTAATACTGACCGCGGCGATATAACATTAGGTTCGAGCACTTAGAACGATGTCGGGCCGCGGTTACTCGCGTTTGAAATTCCGCACCTCGTCCCGAGTACGTGCTCCTTCTCCCTTCCGTTTGACTTTCGCGCGTGCTTTTTAATCGACTCGTATCTCGTCGTGTGAGAACCGCAAACGACGCTGCACGCGGTCATTCATTACGAAAGTGTACGGTGGACGTTTAGTTTCGTTTGAGATTATTCATTTATTTCGATACGCGCCGCATATTTCTCCGTCGTATATCAAACTTACGTAATTCGATCATTTTTGTACGATTTAATGGCGTCATGAATTCGACAATTGATTGGTATTCACGCACATTTAACGATACAAAAATACGCGATATGTATCTTCTTTGAGAATTTTATTTTATTTACTTTTTTGGAGAATATTTTCAAAATATTTTCGTCGATATCAAACTTGTACATAATTCGATAATTTTTATACGATTTAATGGCGTCATGAATCCGATATTCGCGCATTTTAACGATATAAAAATACACGATACGTATTTTCTCTGAGAATTTTATTTTATTTATTTTTTTTTTTGGGAACATTTTCAAAATATTTTTACGTTTAAATAGAAGTATGCGTGCATATCCTGGCCTGGTTTCTCTATTACGAGATGCATTGTGTCTCGTAGATAGAGCTACGATTAGCTTTTCGACCAGCCGCCCGCCACGAAACCAGTTTGACATGCCTGGCATGAATCATTGCCGTTGTAATGCGAGAGTTCTCGCCGTACTAGTTTGGAGCCCGATTCTATTCCACGACGGTTCTCTCTCGTTCGTTGCCGTTCGCGCGAGATCGCAATTTTCTGCGGAACGACACAGTGTCGATTCGCAACGATGACGTCTAATGAGTTTGATACGCCGTTCCATTATGAGGATGTGGCTATTTGTTGAGTATTTTCGCTCGCCGTACCTCTCTCGCTCTCTCCTCTTATCCTTCTCTCTTCTCTCCACCCTTCTCCTCGTTCTCGTATTATCTCTCTCGGCTTCTCTTTTCCTCGCGATTCGCCGGCGCTGTTGTTGTCGCTTCTCTTTCTCTCCGTCTTCCTCGCTCTACACCGCCGATTATGCACGTCTCTCTTTCTCGCTCGTTGGCGACTCTCCTGGACCGGAAGTTGTAATGAGCGCTTCTGTCGCCAGAGCCGTCGCCTCGCGTCGCATCGTGACCAACGATGACGTTACTTTGGAAATATCACGGCCGGTTATCCAGGTCGTTAGCTTGTGCACCGCGTGACTTCGAGAGGGAACTCGATTCACGAGGGGAATAAAAAAAAAAGAATATGTAATTGCAGCTTCCAGGAATTGAGAGCGCAAGGAGTGACCGTGCGCTATCCATAGAAGTCACCTTATAATTATTTTTTCCCTTTTTTTCTATCTGCCATTGCTATCTTTCAATTCTTTGTCTTCGACTTAAAGATTATTTACTTATATAGACTAGATAAATATTTTAAGGAAAAACTAGATTATTTACTTATATAGACTAGATAAATATTTTAAGGAAAATTTCCAAATTTTTCTCTTAAAATATTTATCTAATCTATATAAGTAAACATCTCCAAATAAAATTTTATAGGTAAATATCTCTACATAAAAATTTGTAAGTAAAAATTTTATAAGTAAATATCTCTAAATAAAAATTTGGAAATTTTTCCCTTAAAATATTTAATTTAATCTAATCTGTATAAGTAAATATCTCTAACCGAAGACAAAGAATTGAATTAATTTATTGTTCTTGTTAAATTTATACGTCACTTTGAAATTTTTAGAAAATTGAGATGTTGAAAGATTAAACTTTTTAAAAATATTTCAATATTTCGTGATACTTTCACTCGTAATATTTCCTGTACATTTTTCATGTAGGTTTATTTGCGCTTACGTAGTCGTTTTAAATTTTAAGTTATGCGTTTAAGAAATTATTTAAGAATCGTAAATCTGAGCGTATCGAGAAATGGAGGTATAACGTATGCATAACGTTCTCTCAAAGTCGTAAAAATTCAAACACAAAAGAGAGAGAGAGAGGCCGCGGTCTCACAGTATTATCCGCGAGCACGTGCCACGCGTCTCGCAATCATGTGTCACACGCCAGGATTTTCTACAGAAACATAAGATTTGTGTCGCCGATGAAATCGTGTTAATGGGTCTCGCGTCGTCGTTAACGCGTCCTCGTGAAAAGGGCAGGAAAAGAGAAGTGCCGACAGTACGAGAAGGAGAGAGAAAAAAATTTTTCGTAGTTTTTTACGACTTGTTTGCGGATGCTTTCGGAAAAGACACGCATCCGATTTTATCTCGCGCTCGCGCAAGTTTAAATTTTATTCAGCATACATATCGCGATTAGAATTTACTTTCTCTCGGTGAAACATCTCAATCTTATCAATGGAAAAATAAGTAGAAATATTTATCAAACGATGTGGGCGGTTAAGTCAACATACTTTTCGAATTACATTACTCCGTTAATGTATACTTGAGGAAAACTTTTTCGTGCTGCTTTACATATTTGGTTTACAGGCGATGGAATGATTCATGAGATAAGATTTAATAATATTTAATATTTAATTATTTACACAAGAAAATTCTTTCAAATTATCTGCTATCGGTCGACAAATATATTTTGACCTTTTTTTTTTCCTTTTCTCTCTATCTCTCTTCTCTATCACCACAAATGTTGATTATCGAGTGAAAAGAGAACTTTCTTAAATTTTCTAGATAATCGCGCGACTAAGCGGCCAGAACTCGTTTGCATTAATGAAAAGCAATGGCGAGTGGGTACATGTATGTGTGTGTGTGTGTGTGTGTGGTATGTGTCACGCTTCGATTTCTTCGATCATTTGTTTTTATATAGCATTTCGCCGCTTTGCTGTTTATGCCATCGAGAACGACGTGGGGGAATCGGTGTTAATTCGAATTAATTATCGGCCTTTAATTGAAATTAATGATTTCTTGATGCGATGTTATACGCGAGGAAGAGGGGGGAGGGGCAGGGAGATGAAGCCGTTTGTGCTCACACGCAGAAATGTATGCACCGAATGTGCACCACCACGACACACTGTGCACTGCAGTCGGTTTCAAAAGCCGGCCGGTCGGGCGGCCGCAGAAATGATGCGTTTCCGGC